AATCACCATCTGCAGTGATTTTGGAGCCCCCCAAAATAAAATCAGCCACTGTTTCCACTGTTTCCCCATCTATTTGCCATTTAGGGCAAGCCTAATCTTCAGTAAAATAAATCAGAACATTGATTTCTTGGTAGACATGCAGTGATTGACTGGGTAGGGTAATAATGAACCTTTCTATGGTGATGAGGATGTTCTATATTTTGATAAGTATGTCTGTTTATGAAAGTATGCCTTTATCAAAACTCATGTGTTATACACTTAAGGTCTGTGTAATTTATGAAAGTAAATTATACTTCAGATATTTAAAAATTTTTGTTTGGCTGTGCAGGGTCTCGGTTGTGACATGCAGGATCTTTAGGTAGGGTATGTGGGATCCAGTCCCCTGTTGTTCATTGTTGTTCAGTTGCTAAGTCGTGTCCGGCTCTTTGCGACCCCATGAACTGCAGCATGCCAGGCTTCCCTGTCCTTCATTGTCTCCCTGAATTTGCTCAAACTCATGTCCATTGAATCTGTGATGCCATCCAACCATCTCATCCTCTGTTGCCCCCTTCTCCTCTTGCCCTCAATCTTTCCCAGTATCAGGGTCTTTTCCTGTGAGTCGGCTCTTCTCATCAAGTGGCCAAAGTATTGGGCTTCAGCTTCAGCATCAGTCCTTCCAATGAATATTCAGGGTTGATTTCCTTTAGGATTGACTGGTTTGATCTCCTTGCAGTCCAAGGGACTCTCAAGAGTCTTCTCCAGCATCACAGTTCAAAAGCATCAATTCTTTAGTACTCAGTCTTCTTAATGGCCCAACTCTCATACCTGTACATGACTACTGGAAAAACCATAGCTTTGACTATACAGAACTTAGCAAAGTGATGTCTCTGCTTTTTTATACACTAAGTCTATCATAGCTGTTCTTCCAAGGAGCAAGCGCCTTTTAATTTCATATGCAATGACCATCCACAGTGATTTTAGAGTCCAAGAAAATGAAATCTGACACTGTTTCCACATTTTCCCCATGTATCTGCCATGAAGTGATAGGGCCAGATGCCATGATCTTCATTTCTGAATGTTGAGTTTTAAGCCAGCTTTTCCCACTCTCTTCTTTCACCTTCTTCAAGAGGCTCTTTAGTTCATCTTCACTTTCTGCCATTAAAGCTCAACATTCAGAAAACTAAGATCATGGCATCTGGTCCCATCACCTCATGGCAAATAGATGGGGAAACAGTGGAAACAGTGTCAGACTTTATTTTGGGGGGCTCCAAAATCACTGCAGATGGTGATTGCAGCCATGAAATTAAAAGGCGCTTACTTCTTGGAAGGAACATTATGACCAACCTGGATAGCATATTTAAAAGCAGAGACATTACTTTGTCAACAAAGGTCCGTCAAGTCAAGGCTATGGTTTTTCCATTGGTCATGTATGGATGTGAGAGTTGGACTATAAAGAAAGCTGAGCACAGAAGAATTGATGCTTTTGAAGTGTGGTGTTGGAGCAGACTCTTGAGAGTCCCTTGGACTGCAAGAAGATCCAACCAGTCCATCCTAAAGGAGATCAGTCCTAGGTGTTCATTGGAAGGACTGATGTTGAAGCTGAAACTCCATTTATTTGGCCACCTCATGAGAAGAATTGACTCACTGGAAAAGACTCTAATGATGGGAAGGATTGGGGGCAGAAGGAGAAGGGGACGACAGAGGATGAGATGGTTGGATGACATCGCTGACTCAATGGACACGGGTTTGGGTGGACTCTGGGAGTTGGTGATGGACAGGGAGGCCTGGTGTGCTGCGATTCATGGGGTCGCAAAAAGTCGGACATGACTGAGCGACTGAACTGACTGAACTGAGGTGATCTGCATATCTGAAGTTGTTGATATTTCTCCCAGCAATCTTGATTCCAGCTTGTGATTCACCCAGCCTGGCATTTTGCATGATGCACTCTGCATAGAAGTTAAACAAGTAGGGTGACAATATACATTCTTGACGTACTCCTTCCCAATTTTTAACCAGTTGGTTGTTCCATGTACAGTTCTAACTGTTGCCTCTTGTCCTGCATACAGGTTTCTCAGGAGGCAGGTAATGTGGTCTGGTATTTCTATCTCTTAAGAATATTCCACAGTTTGTTGTGATCCACACAGTCAAAGGCTTTAGCATAGTCAGTGAAGCAGATCTTTTTAATTCCCTTGCTTTCTCTGTGATCCAGCAGGATCAAACCCCGGCACCCACTTTGGTAGCATGGAGTCTCTGCCAGGGACGTCCTTATACCTTAATTTTAAACAAATTTTATCTTATTTTCTAAAGAGTGGATAACATAGCATTCCATATTACCAGAAATGCAAAGTGAAAGTGAAGTCTCCCAGTCGTGCCCAATTCTTTGTGACTCTGGACTGTAGCCCACTGTTCATGAGATTCTCCAGGCAAGAATACTGGAGTGGGTTGCCATTTCCTTCTCCAAGGGATCTTCCGGACCCAGGGATCGAACCCTAGACTCCCACATTGCAGACAGACGCTTCACCTTCTGAGCCACCTGGGAAGCCCCAGAAATGGAAGTATGTAGTAATTCACTTGGGTGCTTGCTTTTAAACCAAAGATCCAACCTTTACTTTTTTTATTTTGTATGACCACGTGGCACATAGGACCTTAGTTCCCTGACCAGGGATTGATCCTGAGCCCCTTGCAGTGAAAGCATGGAGTCCTAACCACTGAACAACCAGGGAATTCTTCTACCTTTACTTTTCAACATCAAAAGATATATTCAGTGCTGTTTAATAGACTGAGAAATTATCTGTCAATATCTGAATATGAATCCAGAAAAGATTTAAAATAAATTTGCACTGTACTATTCACAAGAGTATCTCAATGCATTTGAAAATTCTTCTATGTGGAGACATGTTCTTTTTTCCAGTCTGTTAGCTACTGTTTTCTTCCCACTGAAGAAATTCAACTGAATGAATTATATTATTATAGCAATAAATATTAACTCCAATATAAATCTTTTAAATACTTTTCTGTCTTTTAAAATTTTTTATTATACATTTTTTATTTTAAAACCAACTGTATAAGCCAGAAAGTCATTGCTAAGTATACTTATATCAGCAAATTTTTTAAATGTTTGAGTTTTTTATTGAGGTATAATTGCCATATGACATTATATTAGTTTCAGGTATACAACATAATGGTTTAATATTTGTACATGCTGCAAAATAATCACCACTGTAAGTCTAGTTAATATCCATCAGCATACATGTTACAAAATTTTTTAAAAATATTTATGGTGAGATCTACTCTCTTAGCAACTTTCAAATATGCAATACATTATTATTAACTATAGTCACCAGGCTGTGTATTATATTCCCATAACTTATCTATAGCTAGATGTTTTCACCTTTTGACCTGATCACCCTACATCCAGTTCACCCACTGCTGCCTCACCCCTTTGGCAACCACCAATATATTGTTTGTCTGTAAATACATTGCATGCTTAGTCATTTCCAACTCTTTGCGACCCCATGGACTGCAACCCACCAAGGCTCCCTGCTCTTCCCAACCCAGGGATTGAACCCAGGTCTCCATTTTTGCAGGCAGATTCTTTACTACTGCCACCAAGGAAGCCCAAATTCAATAAATGATAACAAAAACGTGTCCTTATGATAAATGTCTAGTAACTCTACATAGGATGGAGACAGAATAGTTTGAGAAATGGCCTTTGAAACTGGAATCAAAAACTGAAATGCCCACAATCAAGGCAGATTAGTGTACATGTTAAGTCCCTTTGGTCATGTCCAACTCTACAGCACTATGGACTACAGCCCACCAGGCTCCTCTGTCCATGGGATTCTCCAGGCAAGAATACTGGAGTGGGTTGCCATTCCAGGGGATCTTCCCAATCCAGGGATCAAACCCATGTCTCATATCGTCTATATTGGCAGGTAGGTTCTTTACCACTAGCACCACCTGCGGAGCCCCAAGGCAGACAAGTAATATAAATTAATGAAGTAGGCCAGGCACCTTAATCTGTATTGTTTCAAAACAAGCACATGGTAGCTGTAATTTCTATTTAACCTTTGGCTCTCTTGATTCAGCTTTTATTTCCCTCCTATCCTCTCAACTCTGTTGTTTGGGGTTTTTTTAAAATTTGCTTTTATTTATTTGGCTGTGCCGGATCTTTAGGTGTGACATACGAGATCTATCAATAGTTCCCTAATCAGGAATTGAACCTGGGCCCCCTGCATTGGGAGCTCAGAGTCTTAGCCACTGGACCACCATAAAAGTCCCTCGACTTCGTTTTAAGGAAAACAATACTACAAGCACATTAATGAAAGGCAGACACTCAGTCGCATGATTGGAGACACAGAAAATGGTGGAGAACATGACAAAATAACAACTACCCCCCGACCTCAGCTCCAGCTGACTGTTACCCTGTGGAGATTCTGGCCCACCTGGCAAGTTGTGATATTTTTTCAACTATTGCAAGAAATCCAGTTTCTAATGTGAAATTTCTCAATTTTTATTTTAAAAAATGTTATTTGAATGACAGAGCTAGAAAATAAAGCCACCAACTCAAAAAGCATTTTAACAAAACATAGACTAAATAATCCTAAAGGAAATCAGTCCTAAATAGTCATTGGAAGGACTGATGCTAAAGCTGAAACTCCAATACTGTGGCTACCTGATGCAAAGAGCTGACTCATTGGAAAAGACCCTGATGCCGCAAAAGATCGAAGGTCAGAGGAGAAGGGGATGACAGAGGATGAGATGATTGGATCACATCACCGACTCGATGGACATGAGTTTGAGCAAGCTCTGGCAATTGGTGATGGACAGGGTAGCCTGGCGTGCTGCAGTCTATTGGGTCTCGAAGAGTCAGACACGACTGAGCGACTGAACTGAATTGAACCGAGACTAAATAATGCAATCTCTAATCTCCCTTAGGACAATTTCCAGGGACCTTAAATGGTTTTACAGTCTTCTCTACTTCCCCTTGTATCAGTGGAGAGTGGGCCCACAGAGCATCCTCACACTGCTGTCCCACCTTCCCTAGATGGAATGTCACACTTCAGGTAAGCAGAGTTTGAAGAACAAGGTTCAAGAACTGTGACAGAATTACGAGGCAGATCTCTGATCTGAGCTGTGAATGAGAAGGATGTGGCAGCGAAGCCGAGCTGTCCTGTGTCCTGGTCTCTCCCTTCCCTACCTTTTCCTCCCTTTTCCTCCCCTTCCCTTCCCTTTGGCCCTCTCTCTCCCCCTGGCTGCAGCCCGCTGACCACACTGGCTGGAGGAAGATGCCTTCCCACCAGGGAGCAGATATAAAAATAACCCCTGGGCTCATCCAGGAGCAAGCCTCCTGAGGCCAAAAATGGGACAACTTCTTGAGGAAACATATTAATCTTGAACTTTTTCTTTTCCTCTAAAGCAGGGATCCTTACTTTTTTCAGTGCCATGAACTACAATGGCAGTCTATGAATGGCTACAGCCTCCTTCTCCAAATAATGTTTTTAAATGCATGAAATAAAACACATAAAATTATAATGAAAACCAACTGTCATAAAGTTACAGCAATATTTTCTAAATATGATGTACTATCACATTAAATACATATGAATACATATAAAAATACATCTAAATCTGATATATTCTTCTTTATGAACATATTAAACAATAAGAACTAGTGGAGGCACTAATAACTATAAGAATACTGAGCAATGCACCAATGATTTTCTACAAAAACTCTAAGGTGATACGAAAATATTTCAACTTCTATTGATAACTAAGTCACAAGTACAGCCAGTATTAACTGTGATCTACATTCAAATGAAAAGAAACGCTACATTTTCATTAGAGAAAATGAAGATGTTTTCTTTCTCCATTCAAGTTCACCAAACCTCTAAATTCTGTGAACCTCAGGTTATGAACCCTTCGTACGGAAAATATGATCTGGACCAAAAGTCTGGGGTAGTGCTCCTCAGATTACCAGGGTTAAAATGCAGATTCCTATTCAGTGTATGTGTGCACCTGATAGTCTGCATTTCTAACAAGCCCCAGGTAATGCTGATATTCTGTTCCAGGAACCACACATTGCATAAAAAAGGTTCTGAGGCTTATCATGGGAGACCTCAGCCTGGAATGGAGGTGAGAATCAGAAACACACAGATGGTATTCCCTGACCCTGGGAGTCCTCAGGAATGGCTTCATCCTAAAGAGACATATTTTGTTTTTCTACGTGCTTCAGTATCTAGTGACAGAAAGGGAACTTAGAGATCCTGAGTTGCTGGGCGCCCTCAGTTTCCCAAAGCACAGAGCGGCAGCTACTGATCAGCTAAGACACTGACCCTTGACAAGTCCCAGTCCTCAAAATATATGCACAAGTACACATACCCATTCCCAGAAAACAGAAATTACTCACAAGTCATAAACATGACTCAGCAAGACTGAAAAGTTGAAGTGATCATGCAAAAGGAAAAAACTCACTAAAGTCTCTGAAAGTATTGACATATGTACCTTTGCCATTTTCCTGAGAGTACAGAAAATATATATAAAAATAATATGTAAAATATATAAACATATAATAATAATTATACACATATAATATATAACTCTTCTCTAAACTAGGTTTTATTCTTTAGGCAAACTCAGTTTTCACTAACTTCTAGTGCCTCTGTACTTTTACTTATATATGGAATATATTTTAAAAATACTAAAACAACAGGAAAAAGTACAAGTTAACAAACGTCACTGCTATTAGCAGTAAAATAGCCAGAAGTAAGCAAAGTAGTGAGTATATTAAACTAATTTTCCTTGCTCCACCAGAATGGTTTTTATTATTATTTTTTTTTTAAAGAAAAAAGAAATCTGGAAACCTGGGGCACTGGGCTACATTTCTTCTTCAGCCACATTGAAGTTCATGGGTTCCTTTTGCACCACCTCTCTACATCCAGCATTCTCAGTTAAACTTAATTCAAAATCCAGACTGGCATTCCCATCAACCCCACTCTAGTTCTGTAGAGTAGAATAAACATTGCAAGTTTCAACCCAGCTACAAAAATCTGCCTGCATTGCCAAAGACCCGGGTTCAGTCCCTGGGTGAGGAATATCTCCTGGAGAAGGAAATGGCAACCCACTGCAGTAGTCTTGCCTGGAGAATTCCATGGACAGAGGAGCCTGGCGGGCCACAGTCCGTGCATCACAGAGACTAGGACAGGAGGAAGCTAGTAACACATCCCACGGGACTGCGGGACTGCTCTTAGGGTGCCCTCTGCTGGCCACATATGGAAACAAGGGGAAGAAATCTGCCCGCACTAGTAAAAAAAAAAAAAGGCGGGGGAGGCGGTCATGTAAGACCAAGTATTCGAGGTGATTGCAAAAGAAAAATATTTAAATAAGAACCCCATTCCAGGAGGGATGTTCAAGAGGAAGGAGAATATGTATACCTATGGCTGATTCATTTTGATGTTTGACAGAAGAAACAAAATTCTGTAAAGCAATTATCCTTCAATTAAATAAATAAATAAAAGGAGCCCATCCGGAGGCATCCTGGCATTTGAAACAAAAGACCAACCATAGTAAAACTTTAGAAAAACACAAAAGCATCTTCCTTTAAGAATTCTAAAAATGAAAATTAGAAAAACAATTTTGGAAGAAAACAAATCTTGTTTTAGCTTGACATTGATAAAAAAAAAAAAATTAGTTGAAGTTTACATTTTTCAAGTCTTAGCACTTTTGGTCCCTGGATTTCATTTGATGATGATGCAAGAAAGGGTGATTACACAGTTTGGGAGCCCCAAGGTAATATTCTAGAAGCCTTTTAAAAGTAAACTGAAACAGAAAGGAACTGCTATAATTCAAAAACAAAAACAAAACCCAAACAACCCAATTCAAAATGGGCAAAGGATTTGAACAGACATTTCTCCAAAGAATATATACAAATGGCCAACAAGCACACGAGAAGACACTCAACATCACTAATCACCAGTGAAATGCAAATCGAAACTACAATGAGATATCACTTCACACCAATTGAACAGAGGAGCCTGGCAGGCTATATATAGTCCACGGGTTCACAAGAGTCAGACACAACTTAGTGACTAAACCACCACCACCTCCTACTACTGCTACCAAAAAAAGGAACTAACAAGTGAGCATGTGGATAAATAGGAACCCCCCCCCCCCTACTGTTGGTGGGAATACAAAATGGTATCTGTGGTCCATGTGTTACTGTTGAAAATGATGAGGTTTGGAGAGCTTCCAGCTGATGAACACATTGATGTGCCAGGACGGGTTATGAAAGCTCCAAACCATTTCCAATATACCTTGTCCTAAGTACTTCTTCCCTTTGGCTATTCTTGGGTCAAATGCTTTATAATAAACTGGTAATAGAGAATAAAGCACTTCCCTGAGCTCTGTGAGCCATTCCAGCAAATTACTGAACCCAAGGAAGCGGGTATGAAGACCCCAGCTTTAAGGTCAATTGGTCAGAAGCACTAGTCACAACCTGGGACTTGGCACTGGCATCTGAAGTAGGGGAAAATCTTGGGGGACTGGGCCCTTAACCTGTGGGGTCTGTGCTAACTCTGGGTGGAGTCAGAATTTAACTGTAGGACCCTAGTTGGCATCCAGAGAGTTGAAGAATTGCTTCATGTGAGGGAAAGTCCCCACACATTTGGTGTCAGAAGTGTTTTATGTGTAGAGGAAACAGGTTTCCTTTTACCATCCAAAAGAACTGAATGCAGGGTCTCAAAGAAATATTTGTACACCCACGTTAGCAGCATTATACAAAATAGCCAAGAGGTAGGAGCAGCCCAAGAGTCCACTGACAGATGAATAGATACAAATGTGATATAAATGAATATACAAAATGTGATATAAATGAAATGCAAAATGTGGTATATCCATGTGATGGAACATTATTCAGTCTTAAGAAGAATGAAAATTCTGACATGCTGCAACATGGATGAACCTTGAGGACATTATCCTAAGTGAAATAAGCCAGCTGAGAGATAAATACTGTGTGATTCTACTTTTATGAGGTACCTGCTGCTGCTGCTAAGTCGCTTCAGTTGTGTCCGACTCTGTGCGACCCCATAGACGGCAGCCCACCAGGCTCTGCCGCCCCAGGATCCTCCAGGCAAGAACACTGGAGTGGGTTGCCATTTCCTTCTCCAATGCGTGAAAGTGAAAAGTGAAAGTGAAGTTGCTCATTCGTGTCCGACTCTTCACGACCCCATGGACTGCAGCCTACCAGGCTCCTCCGTCCATGGGATTTTCCAGGCAAGAGGATTGGAGTGGGCTGCCAGTGCCTTCTCCGTTATGAGGTATCTAGAGTAGTCAAATTCACAGAGACAGAAAAGAGAATGGTGGTTGCCAAGGACTGGGGAAAGGGAGGAATGGGGAGTTATTGTCTAATGGGTCTAGAATTTTGGTTGTGCAAGATGAGAAGGTTCTGGAGATGGGCTACACAACACTGTGAATATACTTAACACAACTAAACTGTACACTTAGAAATGGTTAAGCTGATAATTGTATGTTATGTGTATTTTACAATTAATTTTTTTAAAGTGAATTGAAACATGTCAACACAATCATTCCTTCATTTGCTGTCCTGTCCCTCTGGTTTGCTGTCCTGTCCACCTGGTTCAGCTTCTATAAATAAACTTAGAAAGTCAGAGCTGGCAGGGATTTGGGAATATAGTTCCATTTTACAGATTAAAAAATGGAGGTAACCATGGCAAGGTGACTTGTGGAGCTTTCAGTGAGTTAGCAGTGAAGACAAGACCCAGTGCAGAGAAAGGCCCCTGATTTCCAGAGTGGGGCCTTATCTTGCTCCACAGCCCCTGTGAGGCCAGTCCATTGCTAAATGGTGCCGTGCTGTGCATGCATGCTCACTCATATCAGACTCTGCAACCCAATGTGACTGCAGCCCACCAGGCTCCTCTGTCCATGGGATTTCACAGGCAGGAACACTGGAGTGGGTTGCCATTTCCTCCTCAGAGGATCCTTCTAACCCAGGGATCGAACCCACATCTCCTGTGCCTCCTGCATTGGCAGGTGAATTCTTTACCACTGAGACACCAGGGAGGAGATGATAAGAACTGTCATCCAATCAGAGGTTCCTTCCCACACCCCATTGGTCTGGGAAGTCAGGCAAGGCCAGGGGAAAAAAATATACCTTGATCTGAATTTCAGAGTCCCCTGAACAAACCTGGAAGGAGAAGAGGAGAGAAATATAACCTACTTAAATGTTGACAGAGCATACTGAGTATTGTTTTTTCCATTGAGTTATTTTGTAATTTTTCCCAACATGAGTCATTCATTACCCTTCAAGGCAGCCTCAATAAAATGACTTACTGTTTACTGCCTGCCTACAATAACATACCAGTATGAGGCATGCATATAAATTATTTTTTATTTTACTTTGATGATTGTGAAGATACCAACATATAAGATCAAATCAAAGCTAACAACTTTACTGGCAGTCAAGTGGTTGACTTTACTAAAATGAAGACATGTCTGCTTAAACCAAAAATATGTTCTCACTGGCACTTTGCTTTGGCTGGGACCTTTGAAATGAAGGCCAAGGTGCTGATAAGAACCCTCAACAGCATCGGCCTTTTACCGCCTCTGAAGCACTCTGGATACCTGGAAGAGCACATAGGTGTGTGGGCCCCGCAAGTGCCTTGGAAATGATCCCTTTCACCAATTGTTTGAAAAGATTCACTTTCAGCTGGTAAGGCTTTGCCCGGGTACATTTCTCAGGGTTGATGACGGCTCCTTGTGCAGCACATGAGGTAGATTCGCCTTGCATTTTGCAGACATTCCTGTTGTGCCTTAACCAGAGGGGCGAGTGCCACAGCCAAAACAGCTAGGAATATCCCCCCCTCCCCACAGTCTGCAAACCAGTCTGCAATTGTGCCCCAGGTTCTAGACCTTCAAATCTTGAGAGATGTTTTCTTCATCCACAGGTTGTTTAGGTTTTAATTGGCTGCCTAGAGTTAAAAAGGAATATCTCAAGCCTCCTGCCATGCTGAAAGAAAAAAAAAAAAACAGTAAAAATAAATTCCATAGGTGGTACCATCAACAGTTATACTCTCGATAAATATAATCAGCCTAATTTTTTTGATACTTTGGCTACTTACTTCTTTTTTCAAACTTTGTTGAAGTATAGTTGATTTACAATGCAGTCAGCCTAATGTGAAGGAAATTATTGAACCCTCTGTTTTACTTCCTCAAATATGTGGATTAATTGATGAGAATTAGCCCTCTTATTTACAAATCTTTGGCAGCAGAAAAAGAGCAGGTCAAATCTAATACATAAACTTGGAGAGAAATAAGCACCTGGTTATTCTTGGAATGGGGATTCCCTGGTGGCTCAGAGGGTAAAGCGCCTACCCACAATGCGGGAGACCCAGGTTCGATCCCTGGGTTGGGAAGATCCCCTGGAGAAGGAAATGGCAACCCACTCCAGTACTCTTGCCTAGAAAATTCCATGGATGGAGGAGCCTGGTGGGCTACAGTCCATAGGGTCGCAAAGAGTCGGACACAACTGAGCGACTTCACTTTCACTTATTATTGGAATAAACGATATCCTATTATCCTAAAATGGTGTCCTACCTCTGAGACCCCAAAACGCCTTTTGAAAGTATCTTAGTCACTCCTCCCAATATCTTTAACACGGGGGCTTTGATGGAGCACAGATTTAGTGAGGCCCATTCACAAAAGGAAGACCACAATGCAGGGTCTTTTCTGTGAGGAGGACACATGAATTAAATTCAGATCTCGACTCTGAATTTTCATTACACACATCCCCATTAACCATGAGCAAGTATATCATAAAAAAAGGTGAACTGAATATTTCAAGTAAAATTTATCCTAGGAATTGTAACATCAAAATACCTCCTGCTCTTTCACTTATAACATATTAATCAGGCTTTTAAAATTCATGTTACTAAGATGAATTCATTTAAAAATTCCACTTACCAAATATTTAACCCTATAAAGTTTAACACAGAGAAAATGTAGTCTCCACCTACTAACATTCCAATGTAGGCCACAGATACATTCTGCAAAAAGAGAGCATTAGTGATCTTAGAAGTAAAGGATTTGGGGGGAAAATACATACATATGGTGAAATCTGAGACAAAATATTTTAGTTACTTTTCAAAAGGATTTGCATATAGTAGGGATTCATGGAATATTGCATATGTGAATAAAAACTATAACATATGGCTTTATAAAGAAAATGAAGTAAACTATAGCACTATAATCACAGAACTGCATCATCCATACCTTCTTCCACATACTATACCAGAAAAAAGATGTAAGAGTTGTGTTGTAATCAGCTTTTCAGATCTAATCTCTTTATCATCACTGGGTGGGGAATTTTAATCATATTAGTCCTAAACGTAAACTGATTAAGACAGCTGACAAATTCTAAGCAGTACTCTGTCCAGTATATTGTCAATGGTCTTTGGGTAGCCAAAAGATAAGCCTACGGATGAAGCACTCATTCGTCATAGAAGCTCATATGAACAGAAACACAAAGCAACTGCAGAACCGAATTTAGAATGCCTCCAATTCATTAGTGTGTGTACTCAAATGCTATATACACACACACGGCATATACACCAATCCCAGAGCTAATCCCCTTATACAGATCTAGACTGAAAACAGTTCTTTATAAGGACTCAATTAGTCAGCAATATTTTCCCAGAAAATCAAAATGTAGATCACACTGTATCTTGTCGCAGAAATTTGTAATTTCTTCAGCTATTTTACTTGGCTTTCCCAGACCATCCCTTCCTTCCATCCCCAATTTAAAAGTTATAGAGGATGAGATGGTTGGATAGCATCATCAACTCAACGGACATGAGTTTGAGCAAACTCCAGGAGATAGTGAAGGACAGGGCAGCCTGGCGTGTAGTCCGTGGTGCTGCAAAGAGTCGGACACAACAGAGAAACAGAACAACAACCTATAAATTAGCAGGTCTTCCCTCTGTCTTGTGGATGAAAAGATTAGAAGATGTAAGAAGGGATTACCCAGGCGTAGCCGAAAATATCACAAGCCTCCATTCTCACTATACCACGGATAATAACAACAGTAAAACTAAAGTCACTGCCCCAATTCGGGTGTGTATTTCAAGGCTTCAGCCACTTACCTTGATGGCTCCAACCACCGCCGTCGTCAGGGCTGAATTGTAATAGCTACACAGAACCGTGGAGTACATCAACAGAAACCTGGGGCAAGGAAGCAGACACCCGAGTGAAGAGTCAGCAAGCATTTAAACACCGCTCTTTTAAACAAATAAAAAAGAAAAACACGGTGAAGATTTTAAAACCCACACCTTAAAACATCTCCTTACTAACTTCCAACTTTTTACAGGAAAATGGTCTAGTCGTGCATTAGCCAAGCTTTCCACCTTCCACGTCCTTTTCGTTTTATCTGTGCGTTTCCCGTCAGTGTTTCCACAAAAAAGGGTGTAAAGACAATAAGATCTTTTAAATGATCTGAACTCTTTCACTTAACAGCTTGCAATCCCCTCTGCGGATCAGAATCACCTGATGCACTTGTAACACCATGATGCCTGACAGTCTCCTTCATCTGGTTCGAGGTGGGGCCCCAGACACGTGCTGTATAAAAGATCTGCAGATGATTCTAACGTGCAGCTAGTTCTGAGAAACACTGGTTTTAGCAGAGAAAGCTACTGAACAATTGCTAGCTTTGGACTAAGAAGATTTAAATAATGGGTTCCATATGCCTATAGTACTCCTGTACCCTACTACCAAAGCTACTTCAACAGGTATTCAGCATTGACCAGTATGTCCAACACTGGTCAACAAAATGACTATGGAATCATGAGCAGGCATCAGAGAAGGAAATATATATACACATACACAGAAAAGAAAGAAGAATCCAATCAAAAGTAAAGAAATACATTCATTTCATTCAAGTAGTAAAGAAAATTAGGTATAACCTAAGTAGGGTGCAAAATTTCATCCACTGGAATCAGACGATTAAATGTTGAAAGAGGTTACCATCAAAACTGGTTGAGAATGAAACTGGAAAGATACAGAGGACATAAGATGTGTTGGATTTTAAAGCTAAATCCTAGCTTGGGAACTGTACTCTAAGAAAGGGCTCAGGCCCCAGGCATTAGGGAGACTCCCTCTGGGGCAATGTTTCAGGTCCAGGTCCAAATTTCTGATTGTTAACAACAGAATCTAGATCACTAATATGCAACACAATAACTGTTTTTAGCCTGAATATGTTCATTACCAAGGATGACAGAAAAAAAATATTAGAGATAATATACATCAAGTTTTTATACTATTAAGGAATACAACAGAATCTAGATCACTAATATGCAACACAATAACTGTTTTTAGCCTGAATATGTTCATTACCAAGGATGACAGAAAAAAAATATTAGAGATAATATACATCAAGTTTTTATACTATTAAGGAATACAACAGAATCTAGATCACTAATATGCAACACAATAACTGTTTTTAGCCTGAATATGTTCATTACCAAGGATGACAGAAAAAAAATATTAGAGATAATATACATCAAGTTTTTATACTATTAAGGAATAAACTCAATTACAAATAAATTTTGTAATCTTCAGAATAATGTATGTCTTTGTTATTAAGGTAATTACAACAATTTGACAAGTGAGAGAATCTAACATCTTGACTTTTGTTGTCTGTATCTGAAATCTGAAATCTATGTTAAATTGTCAATTTTCACTTGAAAAGAATACGAAAATCTAAGTCTATATACAGTATTCTGATGTTTAAGAGAAGGTGATTTACCACATTGCCAAGTTTGGTTTACTAGATTTCAAAGAGTTTCTAGGTTTATAAAACAACCTGGCCCATCAGCTTCTCTAGGGTCTCATAACACCTTGGAATTGCTAGAAAAAAATCAGGTAAATTACATTTGTAAATCACATTTAAGATGTTTAATTAAAAAAAAAGATGTTTGATTTTTTTTTAATTCACTAAGTTATGAGACTGATTTACAGTAAGTTGTTTAGGAGATTTCAATCACTTAAACTTGACTTAAACCATTAACCAAATAATAAAGTATTCTTTTTTTTATAAGTATTCTTATATTAATACAAAAATTACTAATTTTATAAATAAAGCAAGAGTATTTATAAATTGGCTTAAGAAAATCCAAGGTTTTTTTAGTTTTAATAAATTCAACATTAATTTATAGTCCCAGGCAGCTATAAATAATCCAAAGCATGCATAATAAAAAGATTTAAAAAATCAACCTGATGTTGTTTGTTGCCTGCTTTTCTGGGCCTGGGTAGTAAGAGCATATAAGCCGCAGCATCTGCCCTGGAGGAGCTAAGAGTCTAATAAAATAACAGAAATCACAACTCCTGGGAGGGGCCCAACCCAGTTTCCAGGACACAGAAAAGCTTCCTGCAGGCTTCCTAAACTGGAGCGCAGCGTTATACCCAAGACAACCATGGATGTTCTTTATGTTCCAGTTTTGCTTAAAATTTCCTAATCCAGGATTCCAAATGTGCAGTGTTTTCTTCATTCCAAATTTCAGTGAAACCACCTTGGCCAATATCCATCTACTGTGAATGTGGGCCACTGGGACACTCACCCACCAGCTGGGTTGGGTAAGGGGAGGAGTCCCTGTCTCCAGCCTCCTGGGGGAATCCGAATTCGCAGCAGTTCTCCTAAGTGCCAGATGGCGTCTGACACAGGAACAGCCACTTTCTGCAGACAGACAGGCTGCATTTCTTTCGCTGTTGTTGTTCAGTCGCTAAGTCCTGCCGGACTCCTTGTGATCCCAAGGACTGCAGGACTGATCCCAAGGCTTCCCTGTCTTTCACTATCTCCCGAAGTTTACTCAAACTCATGTCCATTGAGTTGGTGATGCCATCCAACCATCTCATCCTCTGTCGCCCCCTTCTCCTCCTTCCCTCAATCTTTCCCAGTGTCAGGGTCTTTTTCTAGCTTCATATCTGGTGGCCAAAGTAATGGGGCTTCAGCTTCAGCGTCAGTCCTTCCAGTGAATATTCAGGGTTTATTTCCTCTAGGATTGACTAGTTTGATCTCCTTGCATTTCAAGGGACTCTGAAGAGTTCTCCAGCATCACACTTCAAAAGCATCAGTTCTTCGGCGCTCAGCCTTCTTTATGGTCCAACTCTCACATACAGATGTGACTACTGGAAAAACCATAGCTTTGACTAGGCAGACCTTTGTCACCAAACTGATGTCTCTGCTTTCTAATACACTGTCTAGGTTTGTCATAGCTTTTCTTCCAAGGAGCATAGCTTTTATTTCATGCCTGCAGTCACCATCCACAGTGATTTTGGAGCCCAAGGAAAGAAAGTCTGTTTCTGTTTCCATTGTTTCCCCCATCTATTTGCCATGAAGTGACGGGACCAGATGCCATGATCTTAGTTTTTTGAATGTTGAGTTTTAAGCCAGCTTTTCACTCTCCTCTTTCACCTTCATCAAGAGGCTCTTTAGTTCTTCACTTTCTGCCATTGGAGTAGTATCATCTACATATCTGAGGTTTTTGATCTTTCTCCTGGCAATCTTGATTCCCACTTCTGATTCATGCAGCCCAGCATTTCACATGATGTACTCTGCATAGAAGTTAAATGAGCAGGGTCACAATTTTCAACCTTGATGTACCCCTTTCCCAACTTGGAACCATTCTGTTGTTCCATGTCCAATTATAACTGTTCCTTCTTGACCTGCATACAGGTTTCTCAGGAGACAGATAAGGTGGTCTGGTATTCCCATCTCTTTTTAAGAGTTTTCCACAGTTTGTTGTGATCAACACAGTGAAAGGCTTTAGGATAGTCAATGAAGCAGATGTTTTTCTAGAATTCTCTTACTTTTTCTATGATCCAACAGATGTTGGCAGAGAGAGTAACTATTATATAAAATGACTAGGCCCAAAGGAGTATATTAAAATTTTCTAAGAAATATAATAGTTTTCTATATGCAAAGGACCTATACAGTCCTTTGGCCAAGACCAAGATTCTGAACTAAAAGACTCTCCATTAACTCAGTGCAAAGGAAACCACTTTTAACACCAAAAATACCAATCTTCACATGATAGTTTTGATTTTAGCATCTATGAATTAATAAAATGAAAAGATATTTAAAAGCACTGATGAATTCTCAGTAGCTTTCTGCCATTCCATACTTTTAAAATAAGACTGATCATCTGTGTACATCTGAAAAATGATGGCACATGTACAAGATACATTTATTCAGACAACAGATACCAGCTGGTGTTTATAGGGCCCCAAGGGATGGAGGTGCTCATGTGGAAACCCCTGGACCAGAACCCCTGCTCAAAGGTTTCTTCCTGTTTCTGAAAAATAACACAAAAAATAACTGATTAACCCAAAGTTGGATGGCACACTCCTGGCAGTCACAAGCAGAACCTAAATGGCCTTGTTTACATCTTGTTGTTGATTACAATTCCATGTACAAGCATATATAGAAATCCAACACGAATGTTCAAGTAATAAAAGGCCGCTTCCAAACTCCTTCCACCAATCACAATGATACCCAAGCACATCACTCTCTCATTCCAGATTTCAAAGAACTTCAAGTACTCTCATCTTGCCCAACTCTAGTAAGAACTCACTCTTACCCCAGACCTCAGTGGTGTGCCAGGGAAGCCAAAGTCATGGGATAAATATGGTCCATTTTCCTGGAGCATTGAGTTCACACTAGGATGTGGTTTGTTGGGCAATGATTGGGTATCTAAACTCTTTGAAGGTTCTGTCACTCCAGTGCCCAAGCAATCAGTAGAATCGTCTTGTCTTGGACCCTATATCTTGGCAGTATTGGTGAAGTTTCAAAGAATAGAACATTTTTTATACTGTGAGCAGGGAAAACAGATACACTTGTATTTCTATTAAGGAACATATCACTGCTTCAGTAAGATCAAAGAGGCTGCTGTGTGTATGCTCGGTCGCTTCAGTCGTTTCCGGCTCTTTACGAGCCTGTAGACTGTAGCCTGCCAGGCTCTTCTGTCCATGGGGATTCTCCAGGCAAGAATACTGGAGTGGGTTGCCATGCCCTCCTCCAGGGGATCTTCCCAATCCAGGGATTGAACCTGTGTCTCCCGTGTTGCAGGCGGATACAGGGACATTTAGGCCTTTACTGACTCAGTCACCAGGGAAGCCCATCAAAGAGGCTGCTACTGGGGCAGAAACAGAGTAAAATAACTGCCTCCAGG